CAGAAACATTTNAATACTACAGTGAAAAAATTACACTTGCCTCACTGTAATGACCAGAATTCCGTATTACACTTTATCTGCGCATCTCTCGTCGCTAATAATAACATCATGTGTCGTCTGCCACTTGCAACTTGACCATGATTATTGCATTACTAATATGGTTATTTGATAATGTTATCTGAAAGAATTTCAATGTAATATCCTGCACTATGCAGTGTATACGTGTGGTCTTTATATTTTGGGTACCACTCAGTGCAGTGCAGACGACATATGATGTATTATGGCGCATGCGCAGGTAAGTGTATACGGTCTGTCTATACTCGCATGTAGTTAAAAACATGCAAGTATATCTATATATTTTCCAGCATTTCTCTTCATCATAATGCTTAGTTGAGATAAGTAGGTAGATAGATAGAGGGCAAATGAGTAGAAGGGAGAGAGAGAGACAGAGAGGGAGGGAGATAAAGAGAGAGTCCAAATATTAAACACAAAAAACGTTGGTAGATTTTTTTCTTCATTACAAAAAAACAAACTTGAAAGAGCTAAAAAGAGGTTGGCAAGATTGGAGTTATTTCAGTGTAATATCTATCTATCTATCTATCTATCTATGCTGAATTTTAATTATAGTAAAATTCATATAAATAGCATATGTTTCCGTGGTGTACTGGTTAGCACACTTGCTTATTACCGGACAGACTCGGGTTAGAGCCCCGACGGAGACGACGAGAAGATTTTTATGCATGAATTTCTGTTTGCATCTCTATCTACTACTTACCTACCCTTCTATCTATCTGCTCTTGTTTCTGTCTCTTTTCTTGTTTATATTGTGAAGGAGTATGGAGGAATTGGAGCGTTTGATTTTGTATTTTTTTTGAAGTGGATGTTTTCACAATTCTGTTATTCCTCTCATAATCATGTGATTAGATTAGTAATATGAGAAGCAAAGAATGGGATGAAGAGGACGAACAAGTGATGAAGGAAAAGAAACAAAACTCAAGACGGAATAGGAAATGGGGAAGGAAGGAAAGAGATTATGTTGTTTTATTGTCTTGTTTAGTGTTGCTTTCGTTGCACTTTGCCCACTTCAGATAAGAAACACGAACTCACAGAAGAGAAGCATATGAGTTTGCAATGAAATCCGATTAAGTATAATCATGGTTGCAGAGTTTTTGGCCTTGCAACATAGAAAGAACTGCACGATATCCTTTTACATACCTTAATGTTTACCTATATGTTATGAAAGGTTTGTCCTCACTGTAGTTCGCAGAGTCGTGAAATAATGAATGCTACTTATGGTCCGGAATGAAAGCAAACCAGGTAGTATAGTTACCAAGGTGTGGAATGCTACTACTATTGCAGTGTGTCAGCTGGGTCCTCTGATAAGTATATATCTATATATCTATATATATCTTTGTCAAAGCACAGCGACTTACAAATGTTATATATTAATCTATATTTGCCTTTGAAAACGTACTGCAGGTGGGTAAAAATTGTTAACTGAACAGAAATTTATATGAAATTTACGACAGAAACAAATTTTGTCTAACAGGAATTCGAATGAACACCAATAATTACGAAATTTAGTGTTTATCGTTGTCACTGAATGTTTACTAAAACTACTTTCAAGACGATCGTAGTATTAAATCTACAAAACGCTTCAGAGATTAAAGCTGATTTCCTCTGATGTTCAAAAATGAGTAAGAATCGGGTTGTCCTACTACTGGATATTTTAGGGAAAGACATGTTTTCTTTGTTTGGTTTTGTTTATAATTTATTGGGTAATGTTTTGCATGTGCTTTGAATATGACGGAATAAGTGGTATTTCTTTTCATTCAACGCAACTTCTTTTTGCGCTCCTTTATCTGCCTGTCATTTATTTATAGTTTTCTTTTCCACCTCCATTCCTCCTTTCTTATTTAATTCGTGATAGCACCAAAGAGAAGTGTTGGAAATATGCATTTCATTGTAGCTTTTAAAATGCCATTTCATTTGGTAAAAGTATTAACAATAAATTGAGAATGAAATGTGTCACCTTTCCAAATGCATACAGCTCTATTTATCGGTTTTATTTACTGCACTGGATTTTTTTTCTTTTCTTTCTTTTTTTGTGCTTTCATTTTCATGTTTCTTCTCTTTTCATTTCTCTCTCTTTCTTTGTCTCAGGCGTCGTATTGTAATGCACCTAATCATTATTTCAAACTATTCGTAAATTACTGTTTTTAATAATTCAATTATCTATTTTATTTAGTTATTTTTTCATGTTCCTTCCCTCTTTTCCTTTCTCTCTTTCTTTCTGTCTCAGGCGTTGTATTATTCCAACATCCTGAAGGCAGAAGCGAAAGTGCTGACTTTTAGGGCTGACAGTGACTAAATGATACACGACGGATAAAAAGACATTTCACATTTAAAAGTCTTGTATATATATTTTTTTTCACTCCATCTCTGTGATAAATAAATAAATAAATAAATAAATAAAAGGCCAAACAGGCTGGGAAAAAGGGTATATTTACAACAAAGTAGGGCTTTCCGTCAACCAAACTGCGAAGGCGACTGTTGATGTCGTGTCCTTTGCGTCATGTGGAAGGAGATATTAGCTCTGGCGATAAATAAACTGGTTGACTGGGAGTGTGATGGTGTTTGTGAGACAGGCGAAATAACTTGTGAAAATGAAGGAGTGGAATAACTTGTGAAAATGAAGGAGTGGAATGAATGAAGAACAAGTGATTTACATGATGTTTTTTCCTAATGCCTAAATTTAGACGTAAGCCTATTTATAATTATATTGCATAATGTTGCACAACTGATTTGCAAAACGCAATATGTCCTTATTTTTTTAAAATTCTTTATAAAACAAAAATGTAAAAGAAACCAGTAAAAAAAATCAAGACAACGGGGTACCTGCGTGAAACCACCTCGTTCACTCGGCATGACGGGAATCGAACGCTGGACCTCCGAGTGAAAGTCAAGCGCCTTACCAGTGCACCACCGTTGCTTGTGGGGGGAGATGTAATGATAATTAAAATAAACTTAAGGTGTATTGAAAAAAGTTCTTGCTTATTTGAAAACATTGTTACGTTATTATTACAAGTGCTTCATGGTCCAATTCTTTAACCTATGACGAATAACACTTATTTTTTCTTTATTTGCTTATTCATTTTTTTTATTTGCTTTTTCAAAGAGAACCATTAGTTAATCCCGAGTTTAGTGTTAGCATCCTATAATTTATAAAGTTTGGCGGTTCTTATCACCTAAAATAGAGGTGATTTAGTTATCAGTGATTTAATATGCAATCTCATTTCCTTGACAATCATCGCGATGATAGTTATGGAAATCATCCTTTTAGTGAGAATGAATGCCTTTTCGAACGGAAAGCCTTTCAAAAAAGTTATGCTGCAAATCATATCGCAATTTGAGTTTTATAAATTTACCTTTTTACCTCTCGCTTGATACAATATTAGTACATATAGACAAAAGATGCCTTTTTGACCAAATTAAACTCAAGTTGTAAGATATTTTAGAGTAGCGAAGGAAAGAATGAGAAAGAGATATAAAAAAAAAGTATTCTGAAGTTCACTTGTCCATTTTCAGAGACGGAATGAAAAATATATATCGAAAGAGCAGGTCATGAAAGAGGAAACTTCACATGATGGATTATGAATCGCGAGGCGTGACGCTCACATGATAATGAAATCAATAACTAAACAACAACAATTATGGAAATGCAAGTCACGATCCCCGGACTCTCATGACTTACTCGAAAAGCCAAATAATGTGAGTCGTGTTTGTTGAGTCGGGAGAGGAATGGCAATTACGACGATAATTAGGGTAAGCACAGTGCATATAATGGTATGATAACGACGACAACGTCAGTGATGATGCTAAACACAAGCAAAGTGTGAGCAAGACACCCAACAGCATTCTTGATGTACAAAAAAATATATATACGTTTGCATGCTGGGAAACTTTTGAACGCCTTGCATTTTTTCAGGAAATTCCTACTACTGATACTTCAAAATCTCTCATAGACCAAAATAGAATATTGAAGTAAGAATAGTGTGCGGAAAACAAGATATCACAAGGGAGAGGTAAACAGATAGATAAGGGCAGATGCATAGAGAGAGAGAGAGAGAGAGAGAGAGAGAGAGAGAGAGAGAGAGAGAGAGAGAGAGAGAGAGAGAGAGAGAGAGAGAGAGAACGAGAGAACGAGAGAATTATATTGATAGTGATCAGTAAGAAAAAGAGCTCATTGTAGTAGCCACGTATATATATACAAGTGATTTGGCCTTGCTGTGTAAGTGAGCGATGATATTTATATAGAAGTTATTCATTTTAATTCAATGACATAATTTTCATATTGCTCCAAGACCTCCAGAAAGTACCCTGTGGCCCCCATTTTCGGAGCACCTGGTCTAAGGGGAATGCGCCCGAAAAAAATAGCTGTTTCAAAAGTTGTTATTATCATAATAAGTGTTATTATTAGAATTATTATTATTAGAATTATTATATTATTGCTATTATTACATTATTACCATCATTAATAATCATCATAATCATCACCGTTTATTGTCGTTTATGATCATAATAATAATTATCATTATGGTATCATCCTTAATATTATCATTATTATTAATATCATTATTACTTTTGTCTTTGTTATTTCAACATTACAGGTATCAGACTCTTATTAGTATCACTATCATTATTTGTATTATCATTCATATTATTTCATTATCATTATTATATTATTATCGCAATCTTTTGATTATCATTATTTATTTTTCCATTATCACATCAAACACCACCACCATCATCATCATAAATAAACATTATCACTACTCCTTTATGCTATTATTGTAACCGATTTTGTTATCATTACTAACATTATCTTTGTCAACACTGCCATTATTATTAATTTCAAACAAGATAGGAATGAGAATGAATATTTTCTCTATTTCTGATTACATATCTTTCTATATCTGTCCGCTTATATATCATTATCT